TTGAAGAGCAAGACTGTTTATTATTGGATAATAACAGTGCCCTTGTTTAATAATGGCCATCAAGAGATGTGCTGATGTACTGTTTCCATGGAGACATGGAAGTGTCATTGCATAGAGTGTTTGTTAAACTAGTCGTATCTCCTCCTATGTAGACTATCAATAAAGGAAGAAGCCCTCACTTGTCAACAAGGACTGTTGCAGTAGAAATGAGTGTAACCTGTCATTTATTCACACTGTAACTGATGGATAACAGTAAAAATCCTTAAGGGGAAAACAGAGAATTTTAATGAACAATTCAACTATATTCAGAAAAAATATGTGCACAAAAACATATTGCATAAAATAAAACCCACAATCTACATAGTTATTTATAATATGTATCTTCTCATAAGCTTCAGAAATGTGCTTGCACATTCCTTTGGCACAATATTGTGAATTGCTCTCAATAAAGAGACTGATTTTGAGATGTACACATGGGGGTCTACAATAAATGTTTCAACACAGAATGAATCATGGAGTCAGCTTATCTTCTTTTAGGATCGTCTAATCTATTTTGCTGCCTTTCAATGTTTCAGTTATTCTGAGGAATCAAGATTTCATTGATGTTGAGTATCCTCAGACCTCACTGAATAGTTCTGGAGAATTCCAAATCTTTCAGTGTATGGAGGGTAGAAAAGATTCTATTGTATTTTAGAAGGCTTTGGATTCCCATCAACTTTTATGGAACAGAGTGGAGTTTGGGTCACATATTAACATGCTCTGATTTCTTCCCAATTCCCTCACACTATGAACTACTTTGCTTTCCTGATTGGCCCTACTTCTACTATCAGCTATTAATCTTCCTTACACTCATTTATATGACTATGCCAAGTATTCAGAGTGATGCTTAGAAATCCATTCTATATTTTTCTATCCTATGATGCACTGAAAAGTTGCTAGGAACATCTAGCCCCAGAGCAGGCTGTTTCTGATTATTTTGGTTTATTCCAGATGCATCACATGCTGGCCACTCCCATGCCTGGTTTAGCGAAGGTAGAAAAAGTCCCAATACGTCTTGTGAGGCCACAGTGATGATGTGAGTTTGATGCTCCTGGTTTAAAGGGCCAGGGCTCTGTGCTACATAGAAGCATCAGTCATGCCTTTATATCAGCGCTGCAATTCTGGCATCAGATTATGGAAACGTATACAGTACAGTACGTCTTGCTATATGAAAGCAAGAAAATCATGTGCACAGAACATGGTCTTAGAACAGCACACTTTTGGGGGATATAAGCTTTTTTGGTGGATTAATTTTTTTTACTCCAATTTTAAACTAACCCTCCGTCAAAACTGGAAGTTTAGCTACTGAAAACAACAGATAATCCTCCTATAATTTTCTTAAAACAAAAAAGTGGTAGTTAATGGTTTCAGAAAAAAACTACACAACAGTAGCAATGATGTCATTAGCCCAGTGGTGGGACTCAAAGAGCTTAACAACTGGTTCTCTGCCCTAATTATTTCTTCCAACAACCAGTTCATCAAACTGCTCAGAAAGTTAACCGGTTTTCCCGAAGTGGTGTGAACTGGCTGAATCTCACCACTGCATTAGCCCAAACTAAGGTACAGCTAATATCTCTAGATACTTATTTTAATTCTATAAAATACATGCTCACATAAGACTGAAACATAGAAAACTGGTGGAGAAAAAGACCTAGTGGTCCATTGAGCTTTTTTCTTTTTAATTTATGTATTTATTATTTTTATTTTATTTTTTTCAGTTCTTGCTGATGAGATTATTTTATTTCAAACAAAACCCAGCAAGTGTATACACCAAACCTAGAGAATTATGAAATGTTCCTCAGAAGCAAAATTTGCACTACACAACACAGAATAAATAATGTGTTATCTGCCCTATGTTCTTGTCAGTATAATTTATAAAAAGTTTTAAAAAAAGATTTATATCTGTTGAACAATATGCTTGGAACATGAAAATCCAAGCTAAAATTAAACAATAAGAGAGTCAGAGTTTTGGGTTCCACAGGAAAAGGAAGATGACAAAAATCTGGATGTGAAGTTCTACTTTGTTTATCCTTTAAAACTGTTCCAGGATTGTCTTGGTAGAAATCTTATTTTCATTCTACAGTAAATAAAACTCTACCCTTATGTTTCATAAATGCCTATGAGAAGGAAAGGTGGAGTTTAATTAAATGGTTATGCTTTGACTATTCTTTATAGGATAATTGTCTTTTATGTTTACTATTGAAATGATATTTTATATCCAAAAGAATTAAATAATGTTCTCAAATGATCACAGTTTGCCATGATTATTTATAGTAGATAGTAAGATAAAGGTACTTATTAAAGAGAGCTCATAAAGTATGGAATATATTTCTGTGGCAATATATCATATGCATTAGGAAATAAGCAAAAATATGGGATATGTAAGTGGACACTACTGGTACTTTCTTTAATATTCATCAAGTTATATTATAATGTGATATTCCATAATACTTCACCACTGGATGAAAATAACCTATAAAAGGAGAATCAAATTTTAATGAAAATATAAATTGAAAAGAGGATAATATTGAATGCGGGGGCTCTTCCAACTTGCCTGTTCTTAGACAAGATCTTGAACTGAAGAAGAAGAAAAGCAGAAGAAAAGCATTGAAGCCAGTGAACTGAATCAACCCAGGGAAACTTAGGAAGAGAGACAGCATACTAGCTGCTCTTCTTGATACAATTTCCAACATAAGTCTGTTTACCAGCATTGCCTCTATTTCATCTTCACCCATGGGGTTTTTAAGGAGATGCTTCAATTTCTTTTCCACTGCAGTTGATAGAGTGTTATGCTGATATCCTCACCTCAACATTTATTTCCCAGTTCTGCCAAATCATAAAATTGTTTCCAGTTTGACAGTCAAAACTGCCACAAAATATGTCTTTGATATATGCCCTTTGTCCAGAAGACGTTAAAAGTTAATGCAGTGAATGCATTATAAAAGGATTGTAGCTTACTATGAATATTCCATTAGAATACAGGTAGTCAACATGGAGCCCAACATTTATGTTGCTAAGCGAGACAGTTGTTAAGTGAGCTTTGCTCCATTTTATGACCTTTCTTGCCACAGTTGTTAAGTGAATCACTGCAATTGTTGTTAGTAGCATGGTTAAGTTAATCTGGCTTCCCATTGATTTCGCTTGTCAAAAGATTGCAAAAGGTGATCACATGACCCTGGGACACTGCAACCATCATAAATATGAACCAGTTGTCAAGCATCCAAATTTTGATCATGTGATGCTGCAATGGTCATAAAGTGTGAAAAAATGGCCATAAGTCACTTTTATTCAGTGCCATTCTAACTCCAAATGGTCACTAAATGAATGAATGGCTGTAAGTTGAGGACTACCTATATAAATTCAGTGACCGCAAATAAGTTTTGACTGAAGTTTGGAACTTTTCTTTCACATACACATATTTGTGCTCATTGTTGAGTATTAATCCATGTCACAAAACTGTGAAAATGGCAGTCTGCACATAGTCTAGGACAGCCATGTCAAACTTGATTTCAATGAAGGCCACATCAGGGTTGTTTTTGACCTGGGGGGGCAGAGGGGTGTGGCCAGCTCTATGTCACTCATGTCGGGGGTGCCAGTGGTGACCTGAGTGCTCTGCCAGCGAAAACGTACTCCCGAGCTCCATTTTTGGCTGTGACAGCCTCCTGCAACCTTCTGCAAGTGAAAACAGAGCTCGGGAGGGCTGCAGGAAGCCCTCCCAAACTCTGTTTTCGCTGGCAGAGGCACTGTGGGCTGATCATGGGTACTTCACACAGGGTGTCTCCATGGGCCAGGTCTAAGCACCCTGAAGGCTGGATCCAGCCTGTGGGCCTTGTGTTTGACACCCCTGGTGTAGGACAACTATATAATCAAGAACTGAAGAATGTAATTTAATATATGGACCAAACCTTCATTTCTCCACTTCTCTTAATATGGCCCAGTCTGGCTGCAACTATATAGTTTTAAAGCAAGTTAGATTCTTCTGGTTAGCTTAATAGCAACTAAATTTATTTTTAAATCACCTTTTGGAATGACCATAGCCATGTTGTAACTATTTTATATTCCCAGCAAATTATATGTGGTTTTGTTTCCTCTGAACAACAATATGCTGCATTAAAATATATTTTAGGAAACTGGTTTATTTCTACTGTATAATTACTATATGGCAGCTCAAAACATTATTTAGAGAAGACAACTCACTCGCTCCCAAGAATGATAAATACAATGGAGGTGACTCTGTCAATTCATGATTAATGGGATCTTTTTTATTCATGAAGTTAGATGTCAGACTTGACTGAAAAATGTACATAATCTCAAATGTATTTATTCTAAAACAGTTAAATTGCACTTTTGCTATAGTGGGGTACAATAACAACTACATTTCACTGTTCTACAGATTAAAACAGAATGCATGTCAGCGGATGACCTTATATGTTCGCTGGTTGAAAATTTCATTTTAAGTTGCCAAATATAAGGAAAAACTTCCTTTGTCCAGAGTATGGCATTAAATGTAAAATAATATATAGACCCAAGTTGATTTCAGTCCTTAAATTTGCTATAAGGAATACTGGGTTTGCAAAGCATCTGATTTATAGACTATTCCTACAAAATAAACCCATCTGGAAAAAAATATGTAAAATCTTTTCTGTTATTAGGTAGTTTGTATAATATAGTTTTAAAATAAAAAGCCTATTCAGAAATCCACAAAGTAAAAGAAAAAAATTAATGGATTTGGAATAGAGCAAAACAGAAGGAAGAACACTCGTAATATTATGAATCTGGTTATATTGATAGGATGTATAAAAGGCCCTTTCAGAATAGAATAATTTTCTAGTTGTTATTGCAAACAGAGAGGAAAGAAAACTAATGATAAACCTATGTTTACTTAAAGAACCTTCACTTTTTTAATAACTGAAGGCTGTGATATATTTTTTTTATTGGCACCAGTCAAGAGTCTAATTTACAGGAGGAACAAGTTAAGGAAACGATGATTACTTGGGGGAAAATTTTTGGATATGGGATTGATTTAGAGAAATCGCAAAAATTATGGTCTCAAAATTATAAAATGACAATGTCAACTGCTTACAAAGAAAATTTATATAAGATGTTTTACAGGTGGCATCTACCCCCTGTTAGGAATGTAAGTCACCTAACAGTTGGGTTGGAAATATATAAAACAGGATAGACATTTTAATACTGTCTCTTTAAGGGAATGCTAAAATTGTAATTGGGTGTGGTTCCACAAATGGCCATAAGATGGAGCCAGAAACCTGGTTTCCCAGACAGTGTTGTCGTTCCTACATTTCCCTATTGACTGTTGCTGATCGTCGTTATTCTTGGATTGATGTGAGTCTATTACTAAACTGTTTTTGATACTGGACTTTGTTATTTGGATTATCCCTGGACTGAAAACTGACTGCTTTAACCATGTATGACTTGGACTGTTTGTTGGACTTTGCTTAACCGTTTCCTGGAAGTAAAACCTACATTTTACTATACAGTGTAGCTGTGTGCTGTGTGTGTGTTATTCAACATTACTCTCACTACATCTCTCTGTGTGCATTCATTCTCCTAACGGGGAATTACCTCAACACCCCTGATGAGAATTTCGAGAATGTTTAAGGATAAATCGCATAAATGTTGGAAATGTCATCAGATACCTGGTTCGTATTACCATATGTGGTGGACGTGCTTGGATGCAAAAAAATATTGGACTAAAATCCACACATGGTTGGAAAAAAATGATAAAACAACATATAGACTTTAAGCCAAAAATATTTTTCTTGAGACTTATATTCTTGAGAATGTACAATAAAGAATTGAAAAATTTGATTGTAAATGTTTTGACAGCGGCTAGGATTGTATTTGCTAAGAATTGGAAAAATGAAAAAAATACCTATGCAGGAGGAAGTTATTAAGAAAATTATGGACTGTGCTGAAATGAGTAAATTGACTTTTGAAATCAGAGAACAAGAAGATAAACAATTTTACATGATATGGGATTTGTTTTATCAATGGTTGGATAAAAAGATATGGTAATGTAATAGAGAAGCAAATTTTGTAATAGAAGTTTAATAGATTGATATAAAATATAATATAAATATATATAAAACCATTGGATGAAAGTGTAATACAAACTTTATAATAAAATCTAGAATATCTCGTATAAATTATGGAATAAATAGTTTAGTCATGAATGATAAATATATAAGCATATGTTAGACTGACAATGTGAGAATTTATATAAACTGTGAGTGATGACCATGAAAGGATAGCACAAAAGATTTGTAACAAACTGACACACTGTGTGTGTGTATATATATATATATATGAAGATGGTTTTATGTTTTTTATGTTTTGTTTGTACATGTTTGTCTTAAAAAATAAAAAATATTTAAAATAAAATAAAATAAAAGAGTCTAATTTACCCACCCTAGCGATGGCTTTTACCAATTATAATTCCCCAATGCAAAGTTGAATTGTTTCTAAGCTCAGAGCTTGGGAAAGCATTACTGATAAAACCGCAGATGAAGCGGGGGAAAGGATGACCCTAAAAAATAGACCACTTCAAATCCAAAGAGTGCCAGAAAGCACTTTCAGCTTTCTTGAAATTATTTCTCTGCATGCACACATATGTGTAGCAAATTGAAAACAGCTTTTAAAGTATCTTGCAAAGCCCTTTTCTGAACACTTTGCACAATCCTGTTAATTATCCCTTCCATTCTCTCATTCCATCATTGCTGAATTCTAATATTATAAATATTAGCACTTTTGGATAAATGTCTCTTTCTCACTTCGTAAAATTTAATGTGCTAGTGTTGCCCAAATGTAAATCCTTCACAGGTGGAAGCATGCCCTCTCTTCTAGATGTAATGGAATGGGCAGATAGCAGATAGATGCCATGAAGGGCTTTAAAGGTCAAAACCAGAACCTTGAATTGGACCCAGAAGTGCAATGCAGCTCACGGAACTAAGGTATGACATGTGCTGTTTTGGAAGCATACATGCCACTGCACTTTGCACCAGCTGAAGCTTTCTGTATATTCTTGGGCAGCTCATGTAAATCACACTAGAATCCAACCTGGAGGTGACTAGGGCAAGAGTAACTATTAGCTGAGCCTCCTGATCTAGGAACAGGAGGAACAACTGGTGCACAACCCAAAGCTGTCCAAAGGCCCTCCTAGCCATGACTGCCACCTGCTCCTGGAGCAGGAGTTGTGAGTCCAGGAAGACCCCAATTTGTGTATTGGGTCTGTTTTGGGATAGTACAATACCACCGAGCACCAAATATGACATATATTAAGCAGGTCTCAGAACTTAAAGCAATTCAGTTTTACCAGAATTCGACTGTTGTTCTCTGTTGACTGAAAGGGATCCAGATAATCCACTTCTTCCAAGACCTTCTGAAGCCGCTACACAACCATCTACTGAATTACCCTCTCCACTAAAGGGATGTTATATACTAGAGGAAAATTGTCCAGTATGATGGACAGTGATGGCTTCTTGAGTAGCAGGAAAACCATAGCCTCTTTAAAAGGTAGAGGAACAACCCACCCATCCCATTCAAAGAAGAATTATCCACCACTAGAACCCATTCATATCATACATGCTTTAACAATCCAGGAAGGATATGGATCTGAAGAGCTGATGACTAAGCTCACAATCCTAAGGATCTTGTCTACTTCCTCAGGTTCAACAGATTCAGACTGTTCCCAGATAACCAAACAAGGGTTCTCCGCAGATATCTCCTTCAGACCTGTATCAAGGCTGATAGTCTATCACAGTTGAATTGGAGCAATTTTGTCCAACAGATGCTGAAAATTTTCTTCTGAACACCCCTGCAGGAAGTTCTCCAAGTTTTTTTTTACCCAAGAGGGCTTGTATCACCCATAACAGGGTAGCTATCTATAAGGCAAAGAAGTACAGATATACTTGATCGCCATTACCTTCACAAGATAGGCCTTAATAGCAGCTCTAATCCATGTTCAGCAGTTGTATTCATCCTTCATTGAGCTCCAGCAAAGCTCAGACATCTCTTACCTCCCCTGAACAATATCCCAAAGACGGGAAAATTACACTGGAGCAATCTCATCCAAATCATCCCATCTTTTATTCCATATGGTGACCAAGGCTTCAAATGGATGATGCACCAGGAAGTGGTATTTCCTTTTGAGCCCAGTTGAGACCATCAGTCACTGGGAAGGAACCAATCAAATTGCTCCAACTTTTCTGCAATGTTTAGCAGCATTAGAGAAGCTGATGGATATCAAGACACAATTTGACCATGACAAGAGAGACATCAGAATCTCTCTCTCTCTCAATTTCAGATCACATAGTCACTGTTCTAACATGGCTCTGGATGATCTGAGATAGCCTTATTGCCATTATGATAGCCAATTAACTCCCTCAGACCCAACTTCTAGAGAAGGCAGATTGAAGCGGCCCAAAATTATGAGTCCCAAGTGTTTGTATTTCATAAGAACAGATCTACATCTTTTACTGAGTTCTTTTTCAAATGTGGGAAATGGTGGATTGCTTAAATTATGCTTAGGTGAAAAATCTGGTTCGTTTCTTTTACATTTTCAATCCATGAAACAAAAAGGTGGGGATGAAGCTTATTCTACAGATAAAAGCCACATCTGAACAATGCTTGAGGTACAGCAACAATGAAAAAAGAACTTGTCGGTGTATTTAGAGGAAAGGAAAAAATAAGAATTAAGAAATGTTCATGTGAAGCTTTCACCTGATGTGGAAACACTGCTCATTTCACTACAGTCTCATGGGTACTTCACACATATTCATATATCCTGGAAACTATTAAACTGTCTGATAAATTCATCCAATTTAACTTCCATTTCAATGGGTCATTGTGAGGCTATCACATCTAAAAGAGAGTATCATTAGAATCCATGGGCCATGAAATCAAGAGAATTAAATGAGGGAAAATTTAAAGTAATATAGTAGTAAATCAGGCAGCTTACTTATGCATGACAAGCAAAGACTGAAGCAAGATCTGAAGGTTCCTACATCAAACTTGGATGAAAACTCTGCTAAAGTCAAGACTGAAATTATACACACTTGGATGAGGTGGGAGTATCACTGCAACTCCTTACTCCCACTTCAGGCAAAGAGAGAAATGCAAATGAATATGATGAAATAACATTTAACTGGGAAAAGAAAGCTGGCAGAGAAAAATTTAGAATAACATGAAAGGAGGAAAAAAAAAACCCTAAGCTATGAAAATAGTTCTAAAATATTTTTCACGTATACGAAACCAGAATGGACTTTGACATCAAAAGATTGAAGAAGACATACAAATGGACCACCAAATTCATGGTTCGGGAGTTCGAATTCTACAATCTGAATTCCATAGGCATCTCTACCATTAGCCACTCATCTATGCAGAGAAAACATCTGAGACTGAATTGCTGGGCATGGACTCAATTGTGTGACAAGCTATGTTGGTTGAAGTGGTTATAGGATTGATAAGGATTTATGTGGATTTTGGTTAACTCCAGATCCTCTAGTTGAAATCTGATGCAAGAGATGAACATCTAAAGCAGGGGTTCCCAAACTTGGCAACTTTAAGACTTGTGGACTTCAACTCCCAGAATTCTCCAGCCAGCTATGCTGGTTGGAGAATTCTGAGAGTTGAAGTCCACAAATTTTAAAATTGCCAAGTTTGGGAACCTCTGATCTAAAGTTAGGTCAAGAAAATTATAATATCCTTCGATTGCAATTCTATGGCTCCATATTGATGTGATTTTATTATACTTCTTATCTTAATTTAATACATTATATCCATTACTGTATTGTCCATTTTATATACTTTGTGTGTGTGTGTGTGCATATGCTTTATTTAAACTAAATTTGTATATCTGTGATTGCATGACTTATAAATGCCATATGCTAAGTAAAATATAAGAAGGCATAGCAAAGGGTATATGAGCTGCAACTTCTATATACAGTATGTCCGTCCAAAGAACAGTCAGGGTTGATACTAAAGGAAATCAACCCTGGTTGTTCTTTAGAAGGACAGATACTGAAGGTAAAACTCAAATACTTCAGCAATCTAATGAAAAGAAGGGATTTGGTGGAAAAGGCCCGGATGTTGGGAAAAATTGA